AATGAGACAAATCAGTTTGTGTAAAGAAAACACATAGTTACCTGTAAAAAAAATATGAAAATTGCAATAAGCAGTTAAATAATTTTTCTTTAAGACAACTATGTGTTTTCTTTACACCAAGTGATTCGTCTCATTATTCTGTGCATAAAAGTATTAAGGTATAATAATCGAAAAATGAATATTTCCCAAGATATTTTGTATTTTATGTCAAAATACTGCAAATTTCCAGCCTTAATAATTCCAAAAATACTTAATGAAAAAATATTTTATTGTATTGTTTTGGAAAGATCTCGAAGTCAACTACAAAAGTATGCAAGAAGACATATAATGTTCCATTTAAGAAATTGAAGTTGACCTTCACGTAACCTTCAAATGGCTATTCAAGGTCAAATCAGTGACACCATCTTATGTCCCCCTTGAAACCATACAACTTTTATCTGAAACATTTTTGTCTTGAACTTTTAGATTTTGAGAAATTTTAGTACGAAGATTAAAATGGCCTACCCTGTATATTATAATTATACATTTCAATATCATTTGTAATTTCTCAAAATCTAAAAGTTTAAGACAAAAATGTTTCAGATAAAAGTTGTATGGTTTCAAGGGAGACATGAAATGGTGTCATTGATTTAACTTTGAATAGCCATTTGAAGGTTACATGAAGGTCAACTTCAATTTCTTAAATGGAACACTATATTTTTTCTTGCATTCTTTTGTAGTTGACTTCGAGATCTTTCCAAAACATTACAATAAAATATTTTTTCATTAAGTATTTTTCGAGTTATTAAGGCTGCAAATTTGCAGTATTTTGACATAAAATACAAAATATCTTGGGAAATATTCATTTTTCGATTATCATACCTTAATACTTTTATGCACAGAATAATGAGACGAATCAGTTTGTGTAAAGAAAACACATAGTTACCTTTAAAAAAAATATGAAAATTGCAATAAGCAGTTAAATAATTTTTCTTTAAGACAACTATGTGTTTTCTTTACACCAACTGATTCGTCTCATTATTCTGTGCATAAAAGTATTAAGGTATAATAATCGAAAAATGAATATTTCCCAAGATATTTTGTATTTTGTCAAAATACTGCAAATTTCCAGCCTTAATAACTCGAAAAATACTTAATGAAAAAATATTTTATTGTAGTGTTTTGGAAAGATCTCGAAATCAACAAAAGAATGCAAGAAAAAATATAGTGTTCCATTTAAGAAATTGAAGTTGATCTTCACGTAACCTTCAAATGGCTATTCAAGGTCAAATCAATGACACCATCTCATGTCCCTCTTGAAACCATACAACTTTTATCTGAAACATTTTTGTCTTGAACTTTTGGATTTTGAGAAATTTTAGTACAAAGATTAAAATGGCCTACCCTGTATATTATAATTATACATTTCAATATCATTTGTAATTTCTCAAAATCTAAAAGTTTAAGACAAAAATGTTTCAGATAAAAGTTGTATGGTTTCAAGGGGGACATGAGATGGTGTCATTGATTTAACCTTGAATAGCCATTTGAAGGTTACGTGAAGATCAACTTCAATTTCTTAAATGGAACACTATATTTTTTCTTGCATTCTTTTGTTGATTTCGAGATCTTTCCAAAACACTACAATAAAATATTTTTTCATTAGGTATTTTTCGAGTTATTAAGGCTGCAAATTTGCAGTATTTTGACATAAAATACAAAATATCTTGGGAAATATTCATTTTTCGATTATCATACCTTAATACTTTTATGCACAGAATAATGAGACGAATCAGTTGGTGTAAAGAAAACACATAGTTGTCTTAAAGAAAAATTATTTAACTGCTTATTGCAATTTTCATATTTTTTTTAAAGGTAACTGAAGATATAGCACAGACACCGCTATATATTAAAAATATATACTCATACATAGGCATTTATATAAGATTTATATAATTACAACTAATATGTAACATGACATTGTAGGGAATGTAACCTACATACATGTTACATGCAAAGAGGTTACATGTCATCAAATCTGACATCTGATCTGACACATATACCTAACATCATGGATCATGGAGCGACATACTATCGCCGTCTGTTGTAAAACGTGCGAGATGGACATTTCCAATACATGCATCTATTCATGTGTTGTGTACGTGTGATATATGTGTGCGCATGTGTTGTATACGTGTGAATACGTGTAGCACGATACTACTATGTTTGCGTGGTCGATGATGATAATAATAATGATGACGGGGACGTTTCTTAAAAGAAATTTTTCATATTTCGACTTTGCAATTATATATCTCTGCTTACAAATCACGTAGAGCAGAAATAAAGACACTTTTATTATATAATTCAAACTCAATCTATCGATTAAGTCTAGTATAAACTCGATTGCTTCAGCCGTTATTGAGAATTCGAAATATTATAAAGACTCAAATGTCCGACTCGCGTTAAGATACACGGTGTCTCGGCTACGCCCTTAACTGGTCGCGAGACACTACCGTGTCTCTTGATGAAAAGAAATGCAAATTTTTTGAAACAAGTGTCGAGTTTCTAGGACACATTGTTAATGTGAATGGCATTTATCCAACACCTGAAAAAGTTGAGTGCATTCAAAATTCACCAGCGCCACAAAATGTAACACAGCTTAAGTTGTATCTTAGATTATTGAATTACTATGATAAATTTATACTTTATATGCTATCGGCTAAACTTAAGCCGTTATATAATTTATGTAAAACTGGAGTTGAATTCAATTGGAATAACCAATGTGAGGATACGTTTCAATTGAGTAAAACATTACTTACATCATCAAATGTTCTAACTCATTTTGACGCAAAGCTGCCTATTGTAATTACTTGCGATTTCAGTGGTTGCGGAGTAGGTGCTGTATTGAGTCACATAAGTGCAAAGAATAGAGAAACCAGTTTTATTTGCTTCGAGCACTTTATCAAAAGCCAAACAGAAATATTCCAATTTAGAAAGAGAGTCTTGCTTTAATTTTCAGTCTAAAAAATTTCATAAATATATTTATGGTCGTAAATTTACATCGATAACCGACCACCAGCCATTACAGTTTATATTTGGTAAAAATAAAAGAATTCCTATAACAGCAGCAGCTTGTATCACTCGTTGGGCATTAACATTATCAACATATGATTATGATATCAAGTATAAAAAAAGGCAAACTTATCGCAAATGCAGATGGGTTATTACGAGTTCAGTTTAGTTAATAACTTTCCATTATTAGAAGCTGACATAGCCAGAGCTACACAGAAAGATCTAATACTGATAAAAATAATTGATTTTGTACTCTCAGGATGGCCAGTGCATGTAGCTGATAATATTTTAAAACTATTCTTTGTAAGAAGACATGAACTATCCGTCGAGAATAATTATTTGTTGCTAGGTAATAAAGTAATCATTCCTAAAGTCTTACAAAACGAAGTATTGAATCTCTTTCCCGAGCAACATGTGAGTATTGTTCGAACAAAAATGCTAATAAGATTATATTGCTGGTGGCCGAGAATTAATGAAGATGTTGAGAAATTTATAGTTTCATGTGAAATTTGCCAACAAAATCAAAACTTCTCAAATAAAAATTTAAAAAGCCACTTTCTTCGCCCACTGCCCGACATGCGTTTATAGAGTAAATCAATTTTTTCGTAAATGTTCGAGAAAGAGACGATCACAATATAGATAAATTCTCGTTTGATTTATAACTCTTGTTTCAAAGAACTAGTCCTCGGGCAAATAACATTTGCTTCGGATTCTAAGGAATTATTTTCCTTTAGTTTTTCTGACATTACTGTTGCTGCCGAAATCTGACAAACATCTCGGTGGCCGATCGTGATTGGTTGAAGAAATCATACGACCGACACCGAGTATGTTATTGTACTCGACTCGGTAGGGAATATTATCGAGGATTGAGCAGAATCGGGACTGTGAGACGAACCTCGATAGCGTACGCATCGTCCGGATTTTACGCGCGATCAGTACGGAAGCTCGTAGTTCGTACAATTTATCCGGGTCGGCTTTTGATCGGTCTAGAGAGCCTCGTCTTGTTAAATCAATGGTGTTATTTTGGTGTTAAATATATACGTTTGTTAATTAAACTCCATTGACTTATTATTATTATTCCACCCGGGACAAGTGACGAACCGGTAATAAAAAAAAAGATATATATTAGTTGTTTTTAAATTAGTGTTTCACGCGTAAATCGAAGGCGGGTGAACATTAAATGGTCCTTCGAGCCGGATTTGGAACTTGTCACGCTAAAAACAGTACTTCGAGAGAACAATAGACGAGTGTGATTGAGACCGCTGCCGCGAGTGATGCAAGAAAGAACCGAAAACCGATCAGGTGATCGAAGCTGACACGGTACATAAGTTGACTGTAAACAAGAAGACGCATTCCGCTGTTGCCGTGAAGAGTTCCGTGCTGTATTTTAAGGAAACGTCTTCTCGCGTGGAAAAGTAAAAAGCGAGTGATCGAACAAGACTTCTGTGCTGATTGAAACTATCACAGTCAAAGTGCCCCCGGCGCATTAATAACGTTAATGTATTGTGCTCCTCAGCACACCATACACGCGTGTGCTCCACGTGATCCGCAAGACAGCATCGTAAAAAACTGTTGTCGCGCTCTTTAGTGCTTCACACAACGAAGTGAAATAATCGTGCCCTGTGGATCACGAACTTCTTCTTGGTGACCTGCGTAATCCGCAGTGCCACTTTCAAGTATTGTTACCGCGTTCTTTAACGCTTAGCAAATTTAAGGGTGACTATCGCGTTCTTTAACGCGTAACCTGAATAATTGCACTCTGCGTAATCCGCCGAGTCGCGCTCAAGCACTATTTACAAGCTTTTTAGCGTTTTGCACAGCCTAAGTGCGATTGTCGAGCTCCTTAGCCGACTGAAACACGACGGTCAGCCGTCACTTTAACACTCTACCAAATCGCTCTGCGTTTGGTAAAGCTTTAGTGCCCAGCTGAGGTCCTACTTCTCGCTGTTATGTCGAGTGACCTGCAGGAACTGCTCGTCGAGCAATCTGCCACGATCGCTTCGATCAAGCGAGTACTTTCCAATTTTAAAAAACTTGGCAAGGCGAACGTCACCTTATACAAGGCGAAGAATCGACTGGAAGGCCTGGAGACCTTATGGGAGAAGTGTCAACAGCTGAACGTCCGGCTTCTCCTCGCAGCATCACCCGAGGAACAACGAACGAACGGATACTTCACCGCAGAGGTCTTCTTCGAGGTTGAGGACGTCTATCACGAAGCCGCGGACTATCTCGCTGATGTAATCGGTAAATTCACTCGATGCGAGTCGAACGCGGCTCACTCGGTAAGCGACACCTCTATACGGGAACCCTCTATTGCGTTGCAATTACCTCGTATATCTCTGCCGAAATTTTCCGGTAATCTAACGGAGTGGGGAAATTTTCGCGGAATCTTCGAGTCACTTGTTGCCTCTAAAGAAACGCTATCGAACACTCAAAAATTACATTACCTAAAGACGAGTGTTACGGGCGAAGCCGCGTTATTGATAAATCATATCCAGATAACAGACACGAGTTACGACGCTGCGTGGAAATTACTTGTAGATGAGTACGATAACCAATACGCTATCATCTTTGCGCACATTCAAGCCTTTGCAGAGCTGCCGATTATGAAAACGGAAACTGCTGCCGATCTTAAGAGGTTGCGAGATGTTGTTGCCTCGTCATTGGCTGCGTTAGATAATTTAGGCAGACCGGTAGATCAATGGGACGATTTGTTAGTTTTTATAATCTCTCAAAAATTTAGTCCACGCACGCGTAACGAATGGAATCTGTTACGCGGAAAAACAAGCGCTTATCCGACTTACGAAAATATTCGTGATTTCATGACGTTGCAAATACGAGGGTTGACGGATCATTATAAAAATATCGATTCTTCGCAAAATAAAATTAAAGGTTCTAACCGCTGCAGTTATAATCGCGCCTCTGTACACAGCGTGACCGCCGATAAATGTTTGAATTGCCCCGGCAATCATCGGTTAATGCAATGTGATGATTTCAAACGTAAATCAGTTGAACAGAGAATTCAGCTTCTCCGATCAAATAAATGTTGCTTCAATTGTCTAAAGGTCGGCCACTTCCCTAACGATTGTTCAAGTCAAAAACGATGTAATGTGTGCCGACGAGCGCATCATACGCTCCTACACCGGGACGTTAATGCTCAAAAGACGAATGTAAATTCTGTCGCGAATAATGCGACGCTCAACGCTCAACCGTCTGCTACTGCCTCTGAGGCTCAAGACGAGTCCGCTGTTGTCTCTGTTCAAACGATTAGCGCTCCGATAAAAAATCCACCGAATGTACTGTTAGCTACTGCGTGGGTGATTCTTCGCACGGTCGAAGGTCGTAAATTTAAAATACGTGCGTTATTGGATCAGGGTTCTGCCGTTAGTTTTATTTCGGAGTCATTATGCCAAACGCTGCGCACGAAACGTTACCGCGCGAGATTACTGGTACATTGCTTTGGTGAACAATACAGTGGCGTAGCGAAAGCGCAAGTACCGCTCAAGCTCGAGCCGTGTCAAACGCAAGGACCTTCTTTACCTCTAAATGCTTTCGTATATCAAAAAATAACGTCGTACGCGGGTTCTCGAATAAAACCTCTCGATTCTTGGCCTCACTTAAGTGGATTAAATCTCGCGGATCCCGATCCGTTTAGCAATCACCCGATTCATCTGCTCCTCGGAGCAGACATATACGGCGCTTTGTTACTGCATGACGTAAAGCAAGGCCCAATCGGAACTCCAACGGCTCAGCTCACTAAACTAGGCTGGGTCTTATCCGGTCCCACCGGAACTTCTACTCAAAGAACAGAATCGGTTCAAACGCTAAATTGCGTCCTGGACCCTCCGATAGATTCTCTGCTCCGTAAGTTTTGGGAGATCGAGGAGATTTCTTCCGACTCTCCGCTGTCGGAAGAAGATCAAAAATGTGAGTTGCATTTTAAGGAAAGTCATACGCGTGCCAACGACGGCCGTTATATCGTTCGGTTACCGTTCAAAACCGATCCTCCGCTCGAGATCGGTTCTTCATACGAAATTACCGCGCTTCTATATTCTAAATTAGAAAAACGTCTAGATCGAAATTACGATCTTGCCAAACAATATAACGAATTCTTGTCGGAATATGAAACAATGAGTCATATGGAGGCCGTTACGGATGACGATAAGCCACGCTTTTCTCCGGTTTATATCCCGCATCATCCGGTGCTCCGCGAGTCCAGCAGTACAACGAAACTTCGCGTCGTATTTAACGCGTCGTGTAAAACTAGTAACGGCTCTACGTTAAATGATTATCTGATGACCGGACCTAAGTTACAACGCGAGTTAGCCTCTATTATCCTGCGATGGCGACAATTCCGCTACGTGTATACAGCGGATATTGAAAAAATGTTCCGACAGATTCGCGTTCATCCGGATGATACGGATTTCGTACGGATTCTCTGGCGATCCGCAAATGATAAACCTATTAAAGCCTATCGATTATTAACGGTTACGTACGGCACTGCTCCTGCTCCTTATTTAGCCATGCGAGTTCTTAATCAATTGGCTCTCGATGAAGGACATGCATTTCCGAAAGCTCAATCCATCGTTCAGGAATTTATATACGTCGACGACGTGTTATTCGGCGCCGACGACGTTCCGGAGCTCAAAGAAAGCCGCGATCAACTTCAGTCACTAATGTCGCGTGGCGGTTTTCACTTACGCAAATGGGCTGCTAACGCGACCGAATTATTAGACGATATTCCGGCTGGCGAGCACGAATTAGCTGTCGAACGAAAACTCGGTGAAGACGATATGTTAAAAGTACTTGGTCTCACGTGGAGACCGCAAGAAGATTCGTTTTGTTTCCAAATAGATATACCTACTGCCGACTTTAATACTAAACGAACCATTCTATCATTTATCGCGAAATTCTTTGACCCATTAGGATGGGCATCTCCGATAGTAATTACCTCTAAAATAATGATCCAAGAGCTGTGGATCAGAAAATATGACTGGGATTCTCCTGTATCTGCCAAGTTATTAGAGCCGTAGAGAAAGTATTGCTCGGAATTTTCCAAACTAAATGAAATACGCATCCCGCGCTGGACTGGACGACATCGAGAAAATTTAGCTGTCGAATTACATGGGTTCGCAGACGCGTCGACCCGCGCATACGCTGCTGTCGTTTATTTGAGAATTCGTCACTCGTTCAATAAAATTTCAGTAGTTTTATTAACAGCTAAATCAAAAGTCGCCCCGATTAAGACAATAAGCGTACCGCAAATGGAGTTGAGCGCAATTGTATTATTGACTAAATTACTCGAATGGGTGCAAAATTCGTTGAATTTGCAAAAAGCGCCTGTATACGGATGGACCGACTCGTCTGTCGCCTTAGCCTGGTTACAAAGCCATCCATCGCGATGGAAAACCTTCGTCGCAAATCGCATATCTGAAGTCCAGACTCGACTCCCTTCGGTTCAATGGAATCACGTCTCATCGAGCGATAACCCCGCGGACTGTGCGTCGCGAGGTGTATCGCCGGCTGCATTCAAGGACTTTACGCTCTGGTGGCACGGCCCTGCGTGGTTGAGTTCTACGGAATCCGCGTGGCCAATTCATAAGCATGATCAAAATCGACCCGACGCTAATCGAGAAATCGTCGAATCTGAAATAAAACTCTCTTCCGTGTGTCATACTCGAGTCTCCTCGGAATGGGAGCTACCGCATATCGTTTCTAGCTGGACGAAATTAATTGAGTTACCGCGCTCGTGAAACGATTTATTCAAAAATTAAAACGCGAATTTACTGCGCCAAAAACGACGGAGTTGTCAGCTTTCGAGCTCAAGGAAGCTTCCCTTTTTTGGCTTCGGTACGTACAGCTTCATCAATTTTTGTCGGAAATTAAGGTTTTAAATGCGAAAGGTTCAATTCCGAAATCCAGCTCCTTGTCGACTCTCTGTCCTTTCCTCGGAGAAGACAAATTAATACTCCTGGGCGGGCGGATCGAAAACTCGCCGTTGAGTTTTAACGAACGGCATCCTATCATTTTGCCGAAGCATCGCATCTCCGACTTATTAATCGCGCACGCGCATAAAGCCGCCCTTTATGATGGCACTCAACTTACGCTACGAATTTTACGACAAAACTATTGGATAATTTCCGCTCGCACCAGCGTCAAATCCCACATTCATAATTGCGTAAGATGTGTCCGCGAACGCGCGCGTCCGTCGCAACAGCTGATGGGGAATCTTCCCGTTCATCGAGTCACCCATCGCCCCCGTTCACGCATACGGGCGTCGATTACGCGGGACCGATGAGTATAATTCCAGTCGTGGGAAGAGGTCAAAAATCGAGAAAGTATTACGTGGTCGTATTTATCTGCCTTGCGACTAAGGCTGTTCACTTAGAGTACGTGGACGACTACACCACTGCCGGATTCCTCGCTGCTTTCAAACGTTTCGCGAGTCGTCGTGGCCTCCCGTCAGACATTTACAGCGACAACGGCACGAACTTTCAGGGCGCAGATAGGGAATTGTACTCCGTTTTTCAAAGACTTATTGCCGATCCTGAACTTAAAAACACCGTTGCCAACGACAACGTAAAATGGCATTTTATTCCTCCCGCCGCGCCGCATTTTGGCGGACTCTGGGAAGCCGGCGTAAAAGGATTGAAGTTTCATCTTAAAAGAGTAACCGGCTCGCGTACATTGTCGCAAATCGAGTTCGCTACGCTACTGTGTCAGATTGAGGCGTGTCTAAATTCACAACCTATTTCCGCATTACATGACGATCCGAACGATTTTTCTGCGATTATTCCGGGCCATTTTTTAATCGGCCGCCCGTTAATTAGTTTACCGGAAGAGTCGAATTTAGAAATAGACTCTGACCGTCTCTCGCGATGGCAACAAGTACGCGCGATGCTCGAACAGATCTGGCGATCTTGGTCGGCTGATTATCTGCATACGCTTCAGCAACGACAAAAATGGCGTGAGAATCAACCGGATTTAAAGATCGACGAATTAGTGTTATTAAAAAATAGTCTCCTTCCTCCTTCTAAATGGGAACTCGCTCGAATAGTAGCGGTTCATCCAGGAAAGGATAGCCATATCCGCGTTGTAACGTTACGTACCGCAAAAACAACTCTGAAGCGACCAATAACACAGATCTGTCGACTACCGATAAATGCGAATTATTAGCTCTTAGATTAATGCGCTCCGCGAAATGAAGATTTCGCTCGATTACCGTCTCAAATAAGACTATGTCGCGACGTCAAATTATGATTATGTAAACATAAGTACAATGTAATACCAAATTTCAGCGCCATACTCCGTTATCATCTTCGATCTATAACTATTGTACTTAATCTGTACCATTTCTTCAATCATGCATCATGTAATCAACTGCATATTTCTTTGTTTTGCAATGTTGTCTTAAAACCTCTCTAGATCGCTCAACCCTGAAGGACTGGACTTTAATCTGTTTGAGAAGTAATTATTTTGTTACCTATCCGGTATACGAGGCAAGCGGGATGTTTGAAAAAGAGACGATCACAATATAGATAAATTCTCGCTTGATTTATAACTCTTGTTTCAAAGAACCAGTCCTCGGGCAAATAACATTTGCTTCGGATTCTAAAGAATTATTTTCCTTTAGTTTTTCTGACATTACCGTTGCTGCCGAAATTTGACAAGCATATCGGTGGTCGATTGTGATTGGTTGAAGAAATCGTACGACCGACACCGAGTATGTTATTGTACTCGACTCGGTAGGAAATATTATCGAGGATTGAGCAGAATCAAGACTGTGAGACGAACCTTGATAGCGTACGCATCGTCCGTATTTTACGCGCGATCAGTACGGAAGCTCGTAGTTCGTACAATTTATCCGGGTCGGCTTTTGATCGGTCTAGAGAGCCTCGTCTTGTTAAATCAATGGTGTTATTCTAGTGTTAAATATATACGTTTGTTAATTAAACTCCATTGACTTATTATTATTATCCCACCCGGGACAAGTGACGAACCGGTAATAAAAAAAGATATATATTAGTTGTTTTTAAATTAGTGTCTCACGCGTAAATCGAAGGCGGGTGAACACCATGATATATACATATAAGTATTTATTTGTTTTATATTTAATACATAATTATATATAAAATTTTATTACATATTAAAAACTAAAGACTAAAGCTACTAGCTCGCAATCGACGAGTTGGTGCTTGTTGAAGGCGTCGCTAGCGCGTATCGCATTCGGCAATTCTCTAGCATCTGTTATAGTGGATGCAATATTGGAGAATTGTGTATACTTGATATCGACCGTTGCAATGAGTCTCGTCAATCGATCAAACATTAGTAGGTATACTAGGGGAGTTCTAGACCAGGAGCAATGAGGGGGGGGGGGTGAGGGGGGGGGGGGGGGAATCGGTGGCGAGGGGGGTGACGTCACGCGGGGGGAGGGGGTCTTATCAGTAGATAAGCTTATCTTTTGTTTATAAACATATTAGATAACCTGATAAGGGGATCATGTTACCTGATAAGGGGATCATGTTACCTGATATGTTTATAAACAAGATAAGATAAGGGGATCATGTTACCTGATATGTTCATAAACAAGATAAGATAAGATAAGCGGCGTCTTTGTAAGGTATCAAAGTTTTCATAAACAAGATAAATAAGCTTGAGCGGTATCTAAGTTTTCATAAATTTTCTCCGAAAATCCAAGATAAGATAAAAATTCTACGAATGGCTGCCGCATTTTGGATCCCGAGCGCCGACAATCGGATATCTATTACTAAGGGGGTTGCGTTTCTTCATCTAAATTTGATAAGATAAAAATTCTGCGAATGGCTGCCGCATTTTGGATCCCGACGCCGACAATTGGATATCTAAGTTTTCTCTGAAGATAAGATAATTCTGCGAATTACTAAGAACAAAAGGTTTGCCGACAATCAAGCGAGTTGATCCGTACAGGTTGCGACATGTTTGCGCGACGTGTCGATCCGACGGGGTGAAATGAAACGGCGGCCTTATCTATGTATTTCTAAGAATTATCAGCGATATCTAAATTTTCTCCGAAGATAAGATATCGCACAAATATTTCTCGCAAATTAACAATTGCATCATCATCCCCACGAACAAAGGGATGATCGGGATATATAATGAGGACCGATGCAGCTGCCGGGCCATAGTACCACTGGCGAGCGCACGCTCTCTTCATTCAGAATGTTTGTAATACTATCAAGTGCTTCCGACATTCTCAGTTTAAGTGCCGAACAGTTACAATATATTCCGAAGATTGTTTTACTGCAAAAGTGCGGATATTTCGTAGAGCATTTGTGGGAAAAACTGCCGGAGCATATCAAGACGGATCCGGAGGTTCAGACATATCGTCGCTGCCTCGAACACTACAATCGGCCGTGGATGCGAACGCATATTGACGGTCCAGCACCGATGATCAGGGATTGCAGCGAATGTCAGCGAAAATAGGCTGAGGTTAAAAGTGCGAATAAGTGATAGACATAAAAAATGGAGAGCGCACCGCAAAATCATGCAGAGTGTCATGAGAAGGGGTGTTATAAGACTGCCGAGAGATGGTATAGACATCTCGAGGTATGCTGTCACAATGAAAAAAAAGATAACCCGTTTTGTAATAAACGTGAAGCGGCGACTTCAATTGTACAATATGTACGAAATCGCGAACTTGGTGTGCGAAAACCGCATACAAGACGTGTAGTCCAGTTCCTGGAAACGCATGAAGACATTGTAAGAGTGGCTGGTAATTTATCTAAATGCACCAGAACGTCTAAGCGACACAAGCGAGTCGCATGTTATCAACGTCGATACAAAAATTGTGTCGATTATTTCACTGTGGACAACTATGATTTTGGCTACATGGACATGCCTTCACCATCGGTGTCATGCAAAACACAATCATCCGAAAATGATTCTGACCAAGAAATGGAGGAGGAGTCAGATAGGAGAGAACCGTCATCATCATCATCATCGCCAGATTTCTTGTCGGCAGCCTATTTATCTTTTCTGTGATAAAATAGGTGTACAACATATGTGATATCAACGTGTTCTGAGAGAGAGAGTAGATATGTCTTCGCGGAAGGTGTAAACATGTCGATAGACAACTACTGAGCAGCCGCTATTTTTGTTTCGTCGGAGATCATCTTTCGAAGATAATTGCATCATTGCATGAACAAAGGGATGACCGGGATATATAATGAGGACTGATGTCACTGCCGGGTCATAGTACGGTGACCACTGGCGATCATAGAAGTAGTGAGTGAGTGAATTGTTTTTGCAAAAAAATGGAGAAAGACAAAGAAGTAGTGATCTCCGACGATGAAGAGATGGAGGTGGTGGTTGTCCCGGATGACGAGATGGAAGTCATAACCATCTCGGACGACGACAGTGACAGTGATGGTGCGATGTACGATCCTGTGTACGACAGGGATGTGAACATCCTATTGGACGACATTGAGGAGATGGACGTTGATATCGTACCCATTGATGAAGACGGCGATGGCGATGACGATGACGATGACGATGACGATGAAGATGAAGATGAAGATGAAGATGAAGATGAAGATGAAGATGAAGATGACAATGACGATGGGTACGATACTGACAACGCTGTCCGGGAGTCGTGCAGGTCCCGCATGTATGGCATACGCGCCACTGCATCCCTCGACGAGACAGCGAGGGTATGCACTGTGGCGTCGTATGTCATGGCATTCGTCGCACCATGGGGAATGATCAGGATCTGCTTTCGCTGTTTCGTGAGAAACAGGGGCAGATTCCTAAGCATCACAACCATCGAGGGACACACTACATCGCGGTACATAAATGTACCCGAACTGCGTTGCGAGGATTGCCGGGAAAGATTATACGTGTTCTACCTGGCCAACGCTTGTCCCACATGTTAAGGACGTGAGTATATATATATATATATATATATATATGTCAAAAAATATATAAAATATTAAATTATTATATTTCTATGCACAGATGTCGAGTCTGATGCCAGCGATGGGTGATGCGACCCCCCCTCTCTCTCACTGTCCCGTCAGGGCTGTAAGTATATTAAAATACCAAAAAAAATCTATAAAATATTAAATTATTATATAAGAGTTTTAACAAGGCTCTGTAATATAAATATAAATTTAACGTATAAGACGGGCAACAAGAGCCAAATCGCGGATGACAATGCGTTATCCTAACGAAACTAAATAATTTTTCGTTAGAATTAAATACCGGTGCACAAGGCACCAAATTTTTTACTTGGACACGGCCAAGATTTTAAATATGAAATAATCTCATATTTTGAGATTTAATTTCAATACCCCTTTTAACCCCCCTACGGAAAATAAATAAATGAATGCAAGAGAAAAATATAGATCCGAAAATCGCTGAATCGGGAATCGAACCCGAGACCTTTCGCTTGCCGGGCGACTGCTCTTCCAGCTGAGCTATTCAGATCTTTTCGATTCTACACTTTTCTCTGTTATATATATTAATGTTGGTAAACAAACGCATTTTTTAAGCCAGCGTGTATCAATATAAGAGTTTTAACAAGGCTCTGTAATATAAATATAAATTTAACGTATAAGACGGGCAACAAGAGCCAAATCGCGGATGACAATGCGTTATCCTAACGAAACTAAATAATTTTTCTTTAGAATTAAATACCGGTGCACAAGGCACCAAATTTTTTTACTTGGACACGGCCAAGATTTTAAATATGAAATAATCTCATATTTTGAGATTTAATTTCAATACCCCTTTTAAGGTTTCAATACCCCTTGTGCACCGGTATTTAATTCTAACGAAAAATTATTTAGTTTCGTTAGGATAACGCATTGTCATCCGCGATTTGGCTCTTGTTGCCCGTCTTATACGTTAAATTTATATTTATATTACAGAGCCTTGTTAAAACTCTTATATTGATACACGCTGGCTTAAAAAATGCGTTTGTTTACCAACATTAATATATATAACAGAGAAAAGTATAGAATCGAAAAGATCTGAATAGCTCAGCTGGAAGAGCAGTCACCCGGCAAGCGAAAGGTCTCGGGTTCGATTCCCGATTCAGCGATTTTCGGATCTATATTTTTCTCTTGCATTCATTTATTTATTTTCCGTAGGGGGGTTAAAAAGGGTATTGAAATTAAATCTCAAAATATGAGATTATT